TATAATGCTCCATCATACAGGTGAAAAACCTTTTCAGTGCCCTGACTGTGATTATAAAACAGCAATAGGAAGCAATTTAAAAAAACATATTAGGTGTCGTCATACAAAAGATTTAAAAAAAGATATGATAGCCTATCCTACTGTTAAGTGTTTTCAATGTCATAATTGTGATTATAAAACAACAGTAGCAAGTAATTTAAAAATACATATAATGACTCATCATACAGGAGAGAAGCCTCATCAATGCCCGTATTGTGAATATAAAACAGTACAATCATATAATTTAAAAAGACATATAATGGTCCATCATACAGGTGAAAAACCTTTTCAGTGTACAGACTGTGATTATAAAACAGCAGTAGGAGGTAATTTAAAAAAACATGTTAAGCGTCATCACATAGAAGAGAAGCCTCATCTATGCCATTATTGTGACTATAAAACAGCTTTTGCAAGTAATTTAAAAACACATATAATGACTCATCATACAGGCGAGAAGCCTCATCAATGCCCCTATTGTGAATATAAAGCAGTACAAGCATATGAATTGAAAAGACATATAATGCTCCGTCATACAGGTGAAAAACCTTTTCAGTGCCCTCACTGTGATTATAAAACAGCGATAGGAAGCAATTTAAAAAAACATATTAGGTGTCGTCATACAAAAGATTTAATAACCAATATAATCCATACAGAAGTTAAGGAATCTTTTCGATGCCATCATTGTGACTATAAAACCGCTGTAGCAAGAAATTTAAAAAAACACGCAATAACCAATCATAAAAGTAAGAATTGTGAAAAACCTTTTCGGTGCCCCGACTGTGAGTATATAACAGCAAATTCAAGTAATTTAAAAATACATATAATGACCCATCATACAGGAGAAAAGCCTCATCAATGCCCTTATTGTGAATATAGAACAGCAATAGGAAGCAATTTAAAAAAACATATAAAGCGTCGTCATATTGGTTAGCAGTATTTCTTATGGCATAAACGTGACTATAAATCCAGAAAATATTTATATATTTTAAACACATATAGTTGCACATAATATGGAGGAGAAGCTCATCGATGTCTTGGATTTCATTATAAAAGCAGTAAGAGCACAAGATTTAAAAAAAAGAGATGAGTGGCTTCGTATCAAAGATGGACGTCTGTTGTTTTTAAAAAGTAGAGAATAAGCCAATTTTTGTAATGTAGCTTCAATTTAAACAAAATCATCAGAAACAGTTTTAGTTGAACCTTTAAAACAAAACTTTATTTTTTCTTCACTTTCTGAAAGTCATAGATGTCTGTCTTTTAAATGAAGCCCCTAAATATAATGGCATTATATTATAACCACTTGACATTTTTTTTTTTTTTTGAAACTATGAGAAGTGATTTAGAAATGCTTTAATGGCCTGTCAGTCCACTATTGATCACTATTTGTCTGTCCACTATAGACAATTATATGCCATTCCACTATATGAGCCTTTCAGTGGACAGAATGACTAACTCCGATTTTAACATTTATGAGTAAGTTGTTTTCAGAGTAGGTGATTACATACAGCGTTGAAATATAGAACTGTAAATAAAGGTATAAATTTTCCTGCTAGAAATATCACCAAAATTAATAATAAAAAATGTTGAAATTGGAGTTAATCATTCTGTCTACTGAAAGGCTCATATGTCAGTCCATTATGGACCATTATATGTCATTCCACCATACAATCCTTTCAGTTGACAGAATGACTAACTTCAATTTCAACATTTTTGAGTAATCATTATTGTAGTGATATTTCCAGTCAAAAATTTATAGTATCTGTACAGACAGTGACGTAAGTTGATTGTTATGTATTGAATAATGTATGAACTACTAAATAAATAAATAGAAAGTGTTGCAGCACAGAATAAGTGGTCAGAGGACTTTATTTTTTTATGGCGTTAAGATTTTAAACAAAATCCTATTTTGCATAGGACATAAATTATTATGAGCTGATTGGATCACAAGTAATTCCAGAAAATTTGAAAAAAATGCGTATTGGAAACATAAAGACATGGCTATTGGAATCGGAAGAAGCCAATCTTATCTGCCGATTATAGTGCTTTAACATTAATTGTTAGTTGTATAAAGATTGTCCTTCATGGTATAAAACTTTAAAATTTGAAGCAAACCAGCTTATCTACATAAGTGATGAAAACAGATTGCACATGATGAGTACGGCGATTAAGGCAAGAACTAATACACTAATTTAGAATGGATACATCTGAGGAGAACACATTGTCTGAAGTCAAAGATTTGTTGAACCGACAGAACTATAATTTACTTTACAATTAACTTAAACATAAGATTATTTGTAGACTTGAAGTGTTGATGCTTATTTCTTCTTTTGATATCTATTTTGTCTTTCCTTTAAAAAGAATATATGCAAAATAAAATTGTAATTTAATGTACATCACTCAAGCTGATAGGTCAATTCAAGTTTTTTTTTGTAAATTTATTTATTTGCTTTGTTTTTCATTATAAATATGAAAAGAAATAAATCTTACTTCATACATCCATATAAATTGTTTTTAAGTATATTATATACAGATTATCATGAATTTATTTGTTTTTTTTCAATACCTATATGATGGCCTGTTTATACGTATATTAGCAAAATCCTAATCAATCATAATTACAACTGAAAATAAAACTTAATGACAATGCCAATTTTGTGCATACTTCAGTAATACTACAAATATTGCAAAAATATGAAACGTTTTCTTGATTACGATTGTAATCAGAAACCTGATGACAATTGTGTAATCATGCAATCAAAATCACTTTAATCTTAATCATGGTATCACATGCTATTATGTAATAAAAATACAATTCCGAAAACCTTGGATAACCACATTTTTTTTTCTAAATTCGATTTTTTAAAACTATTCCAATATGCTTTGACCATTATTTTGGCTAATAGCCGTGGAACCAGAGCCCAAAAAAAACCCTCTTATACTAATATTATACTGAGTAAAGAGAACCTTGTCTGCCATTCCAGAGCCGCTGCTTTAAAAAATGGTGTCTGATTTAAAGAATATTAGAACAGTAATTTGAAGATCGAAACGAGAAATCCATTATTAAAAAAAGTTTTATTTTTTAAACTTGTATATATGAGTTTAGACATATAAATACAAAATTGCTAACGCGGACCATCAAGGGAAAACTTTTTACTGCCAAAAAAGTCAGATTTTTTTCGATATTTTTGTGTTTTTTCACCTTTAACTGCTAAACGATACATCAAAGCGAAAAATGTACCGTACCGTTTAATACATTAAAGAAATTCTGTGTCGAATGAATGCATAAACTTTATAATTTATTTATGTGGTATGATATAAAACTACGGTCAACCAACGCTGATTTTTACCAAAGTGGTTAAAAACTGAGACAAATTACTATAAATAGCCCTGCAACTTGGAAATGAGTTTCTTAAGAGAAAAAACCCATAGAATCAAAGTCGTAGAGCATCAAATTTTGCATCCAGTGTGTACCAAATAATTTAATGTAGGTCAACAAAATCGCTAATCTCCGAATGGTTAGAAATTAGTAATGAAGATAAACGTGAATTTTAATATTTCAACAGTATGGGTGTCTATTCTACTGAGTTATTTTTGTTTAGAGTATGTTACGTACAGTATAAGCCTCTTTTTCACCTCTCAACAGCAAGGAACTTTGGTAAACAATGTGTCGAAAAATACCAAATTTTATAAAGAAATAACGAATCCCGATTCGAGATATATAATTGGCCTACAAGACAAATGTCAGTACTCAATGGACGCAAAATTTGATGCTCTACAACTTTGATTCTGAGTTTTTCTAATTAAGGAACTCATTACCAAGTTACAGGGCCATTTATAGTATTTTGTTTCTGTTTTTGATAAATTTGGTAAAAATCAGCGTTGGTTGACCGTAGTTTTATACCTTACCACATAACCAAATTATAAGATTTATGTACTTGTTCGATGCAGAATTTATCGTTCTTTAATATATTATAGAAATGTAAAAGTTTTCCCTTGGTGGCCTGCGTTAGCAATTTTCTTTTTTACATGTTAAAATCCATATATACAAGTTAAAAAAATAAAAACTTTTTTCATAATGGATTGCTCGTTTCGATCTTCAAATTACTGGCCTAATATTCTTTAAATCAGTTGCCATTTTTTAAAGCAGCGGCTCTGGAACGGCAGACAAGGTTATTTTTACTTAGAATAAAATATACTTTCGCAATTTACAATGAAACCTTCGCCTGCGAAGAGATCGATTTTTGGGCCCTTGCTCCAGGGCTATTATGTTTTGGTTCGATCCGTTTGGCACTAAATCGTTCTTACCCACAATAATTAACTAATGATTAGTATTAATTTGATTTTTTTCATATTGGGTCAAAAAGAAAACTTCATATCTTCTCAAATATCTTTCATATATTATTCTATTTATTTATTATTTTTTTCTCTCTTCTAAGGAGTTTTTGAACCCAACATAAGACCAAAGTAACTAAAGTTTTTTTTTCATATTTGTTAGTTAAGTTTCATTCTACGTTTTCTTCTAAAACCGCGATGGAGCTTAACAGCACAACACCAGATTTTTTATAATTTCTTTAATTTTTGGACCATTGTTATAAGATTGGATTACAGAACATTTTAGAACAAAGTAAGTTTTTAAAAATAACATAAAAAAGGATTCTATTCATAAGTTGTGCATTTTTTTGTGACATATAAATCTATAAAAAAAAATATGTTACTCCAAAACAAAATAAATACTCCAACAAAACAGAAAAAAATAATAACAGAGAACTACATGCAGTTCTGATGATGGGAACATATTTCCGAAATATGCACTCATTATGATATGTGACAATATACTGATTATATGCCACTAAGGAAGTGTTTTTTTTTCATTTCAAACTCATGAATAGTAACCTAAAACTTCTCAACTAAAGAAGAAAAAGAGAAAAGGATACTTTAAATAATCATAACGGAAAATAAAACAATTTAGTAAATAAATTTTTATTATGAACATCAATTCATAGACGATACAGATAACACCTTATCTCACCATTCTGCTATTTGCCTCACTTACAAGTGGAATATGATACATTCATTTAGGACTTTTAAATTTGTAAAAAATATTATAAAATAATAGGGAAAGATACCCTCACACTCTCCATTGAAAATATATTACAATACAAAGTATTTTGGTAACTAATATGTTACTTTTAAAATTATAGACATTAATAAAGTGCCACTAGTGACTTACTACTTTTTTTTACATTAATGACATCAATATATAAATTGGCCTGTACACAATTGAGCTTTCTGTTTCATAATACTATAATATTTATCATTAAAACTAACATAAAAAGTATCAGTTCCAAGTATTATAGACATCAATATTAACAGTTAATTTTTTAAATGACACTTAAACATACAATACTTACAAACATTTAGAATCAACAACCAGAGAAATCTTATGAGCCATTTGCTGAGTAAAAGATAATTCAGTCTTAACTACGAACTTGAATATTGCAAGACTAGTTAAAACTAAGCACAACTCAGAAATAGGCCATTATATAAACCTTTATTTCTTAATATGTAGTTACAATTTATTTCTGTCAATATAAAATTAAAAGAACCTTGATAATTAAATATCAATAAAAAATTATAAAAATGCAGAAAGTATTTTTGTGCTACAAAAAAGTGTTAGTTGCTAATACTAATTCTTTAGAAAAATATAAATAACAAGAGAAATTAATACATATCACAAGTTTTTGTGAGGTATCTTAAAACAATACTTCATCATATTGAAACAATTATCAGTAAGAGAAGACTTGTTCAACTTGAATGAATCTGAAAAGTAACCTAATCAATACTACTTATTAAAAAAATATGTAAAATACAAAAAAGTAGTGCGAAATCTACAAGGAACAAACATTACATTTCTAAGTGCCATAACAACCAGCAGGAAAAATACACGTTACAGCTCAGTGAATCAAACAATGTAAGGCACAGATATATAATTAATTTTACATTAATAAACAATATTTAAAACCAACAAGCAATTATATTCAAGTTTGAAATTAGAATTTATATATCTCTAATTCTTAAACCTATGAATGCAGAATAACATAAAGGAGTATTTTTATGAAATCCCAACATTTGGATTCAGTAGATCTTGTTTGCAATATTTGAGATCTATAATTATTCATTACTTTATTGTAGTAAACTTGATATGGTCTTGTACTTTAATAAATTTAATTTTATTCCTAAGTATGAACTTATATTTGGAATAAGCACCAGGATGATCTCTTAAAAAATATTGCCAAGTTGATTTACAAAGTTTTAATTTTATTTAAAATAAAAGTAGAAAGTAAATTAAACTTGAGATTTGTGGAATTAATAAACTAATATTATATTTTTAGGGACATTTTTGAAAGTATAATTTTTGGAGCGGAATAAGTAAAAAAAAAAGATTATTTATATTTTAGGAGTTGTATAATGTCTTGTATTATATCACAGTAGAGAATTAAAATAGTTTGTTATCTAATTCAAGAATTTCAATAAATGAATCGTTGATGTTTTTCTTATCAACTCATGAAAGTAGTAGTTTTGATTTCAACAAAATTAGAATTTTCATTTATCGAATGAATAAAAAACTTTTAAATAATGAATGTGTACAGAATTTTAAATATTACGGAACAAAAAATAATCAAAATTAAAAACCTTAACAAATTTACTTTTCACTTTTATTCCAAATTGCACAAAATGAACATGAATTCTTTATCTCATTATCAACTATAAAAAAAGAAAAAAAATTATAAAACAATTTGCAAATTACAATTTTGAAGCATTTATCAATTAATTAAGGTTATTGTAATATTTAACTTTCAAAAATCAACATTTTAGATTTGCGAATTAGAAAAATATAAAGTGTAATACAGACTAAAATTTGAAAAATAAAAGTATAATAGAATGAATTCGGTTTATGACTTATTATATTTTTATCGAATTAAACAACAATGAGCAATAACTTTTGGTCAAGTGTAAGTTTAGATTCTATTTACATTTAAAAACTAGGTCTTTACGTTTTTCTCTTTTCATATACATTTTTTTTATAAAATATAATTTTAATAACAAAAATAAAAGGAGTTATATATCTTAACAAGACCAACTCAGTTCCATCACATGTAAAGCACTTACAAATGTTAAAAATACAAATGTACACTTATAAAAAAATATGTACATATTTAAATTACAAAACTAAAAGACTCAACTAGAAAGAGGAACAAACACTTCTATGAAACTGATAAACGCAAATGACTAGAGATAACATTAACTACTGCAATCTAATCATGTCAGCGAATGAGGTCAATTTAAAAATCATAGTTGTTACGAAAATACTGCTTTGTTATGTAAGAACTTACAAATGTACTTAGTGTACTTAAATTGAGATAACTTGATTTAAAAACATATGTTTTTACACTAAAAAATGCAATCATATTTATCAATTAATGAATATTTAAAAAAAAATTATTTCAAATATGTCAAAATAATTATTATTTTAGAAATAAAATAATTGAGAATAAGGATATCAAACGGACAAGGAGATCCTTAATTTAATTATGAATTAAAGTACGAAACTTAACAAAAAATGTTAATTTAATTTTTATTCATTTCAAAATGTTTATCAACTGTGGAGGAAACTGGACCCTGCATAGAATGTAATATTGTCATGGATGGAATATTATTTCAATTTATCCAACAAATTTATAAAAATACATAAATCAGTTTATAATAGTTTCATTTCCAATATCACAATTTATATTCATTGAAATTTTGCAAATACTATTATATCTGAGATGTTTCATGAAAACTAAGAGAATATCTTTTAATTCAAATAAAAGTAATACTAATAAATCAATTAAAAGAAAAAAATAGGAAAAGATGTGTTGGCTACTGGATCGAAAATAAGTAATAATTTATTCTTTGCAGTCTTAATTTGTTCTTTTTATCAATTTATGGCACTTAAACATTATAAAAAAATAATATATTGACAAAGATGGAATGTTATTTCAAGACATATTGTCAGTAGAACATTTACAAATTGGTCAAAATTTATCAATGTTGGACAATAGTGTCTTTTACCTAATTACGAACAGACAAAGCAGTATTTTCGTTGGCAGTGTGGAACGAAGCAGAAGCAGTATTAGCAGTCAGTTCTAGGCGACCATGTTGAAGTTCGCAAGAGAGGGCTTCAAGAGCCTCCCTGCCCTCAGGACTGTCATAATAGGACACTTCTCTAAACCCTTTGGTTGTGTACTCGTGCAGCTCACCCAGGATCTGCAAGAAGCTCGGGCGAAACTTAGGCTTCCACTTCCAGCACCAAAGCATCAGCGTTTTAAACGGTTTTGGATAGATAGGTGGTAAGTCCAGTTTGTTACCCGAAACAACATGAGCTAGCACCTGTTCGTTGGACATTCCTTGATACGGCTGCGAAGCTAGAGTTGCCATTTCCCAGAGTACAATTCCATAACTCCAGGCATCTGATTTACTGGAAAAGATTCCATCATTGAGGCTCTCAGGAGCCATCCAGCGGATCGGAAGGAGTCCTTTGTTGCCTTTCCGGTAATAGTCAGTCTCGTAGATGTCCCTGGCCATGCCGAAGTCTCCTATTTTGACGACTAAGTCTTCCCTTATCATACAATTCCTTGCTGCAAGGTCCCTATGGACGTGCTTAGATCTTTCCATGAATGCCATGCCATCGGCAATCTGCGCTGCCATGAGTAGCATTTGCTGTGGCAGGGGGGGCTTGATATTCCTGCACTCCCGAAGATATGTTTTCAAGTCCCCGTGATGCATCATTTCCATGACGACCAATTGGGGCCAATCTCTCGAAACGATTCCTATCAATTTGACTATATGATACGCTGAAGTAAAGCGTTTCATAACTGCAGCCTCATTTAGAAACGCAACACAATCTCTATCACCTGCAGTTTCAACTACTTTTTTTACTGCAACACGTTTTTCTTCAGGAAGTAGAATACCTTCGCAAACGATGCCAAAATTTCCCCTTTTCAATTCTCTTAAGACTTGGATCCTCTCTCTTGGTAGTTCCCATTCCTCATCCACAACAGGAAGGCCAAGATATTCGGGATTAACTGAAGCTATTAAAATTTCACTTCTCATTGTAATTCTTTTCCAAAAGAAGGCAACAGAAGCAGCCAATGCAGCTACAACTATGATACATATCGCCACGCCTACAACTATCAATATGATATTTTTTGATGAGAATTCATAAATGGATATGAACTTGTATTCGGTGAAATTCCCTACCCCTGCGAGAGAAACAGCCCTCACCCTAACTGAATATTGGCCGATGTCGAGGCCATGAAGGTAGTAACTTCCTTTTGTTCGGTAATCGTGAACCTTGACGCAGTCTATAATTGGTCGGAAATTCGGTATGTCAGTTCTCCGATATTCTATATCAAAGGCAAATATCATAAGGTTGGGCTTGCTAGGAACATCCCACTTAAGTTGGACAGACCTGTTGTTAACTTGGGCGACGAGCCAAGATATATCATCAGCACCCAGTTTTGGAAGTGCCCTTATGGTAACAGTGGATGAGGTGCTGCACCTCTCTTTGTCTGTTATCATTTCTTCTGCAGGATCCATTTCCCGACAAGCTCTGACCTCGAATGTATAAAGCATAAAGTGGTCAAGATTTTTTATGGTAATGTTTGTTCTGTTTCCTGGAACAACTTCATAAATTGTGAACAGGTGATTTTTCTTTTTTACATCATCTAAATCATTGACAAATTTTTTTTTATAGTCTACATATCGCCTATTGAGGTGATTTTCTGTTTTTAATATATTATTTTCCAATAGAGAGTAAAAATATTTTTCACAACTGGCATCTTCCTTGGAATTTATAAATGGCGAAGCAACTTTTGCTTCTTTCAAATTTTTGTTCTGACAGATAGGTTCGGGTTGTTCAAGCTTTATAATAGGTTCTTCGTCTTCACAACAGTCATGTTTTTCTACACCAATTTGAGTCTTGAATTCCGGCAGTATTGTGGTTACTTCAGGTTTTTTATTTGACAACGTATCCCTTAAAGATTCTAAACAAAAATCTAAGTCATTCAGCATTTTGGTTTCTTCATCTCTAGGAAAGCCTGTGACTATGTATTCAGAAATATGACCGTTTTTCCTTTGAGGTGGTTCCCAATCGAGGAGTATACTGTCACTGAAGAAACTGGCACCGTGTAGCTCCACTGGAGGCGTCGGTTTGCTCGGAAGTGTTGTTTCATACAATATTGTGCTTTGGCCTCCCGTACTCTCGATCGTGTAAGTCTTGACAAATATTGCATATTGAGTATTAGGTTCCAGGTTAGTCAGTGTATGATACACACCTTTCGTCGAATTTTTCTCTGGGTAGTTCATTACGTCGTCTACTGACCAACGGTAGGTACCACATTCGTTGGTCTCATAATCGGCAGTGACATTTTTAAAAGCAGCTTTGATATAATAAGCCAAATATCTCAACAGATAATTCTCCTGATTTTCAGAATCACGAAACTTTGGAGGGCCGATGAGAATGGTAATACTAGTACTATTTCTAAAGTGAATTTTTATGTTCAAATCTATTATATTACAAGCAAATTTGTTACCATTGGATTCTTTCGCTACTTCAGAATTTGTAATTTTTTCAATTCCTGCGATTTTGCCCAATTCATAAATGTGTTTCAAACACAGACTAGGGTTGTAATGGGAGAACAATCGGCCGGAGCGGATGGTGAAATTTCTCTTGGCAGGCCTGTTGTCCCAATCCCAGATAGTTTGAAGATTCTGATTTTCGAGCATGATGAAGGACAGGTTCATCGGATCGCTGAATATCTTCGAACTGTGGATGACTCGCAGATTCATCAAGAAATTCAAGTTGGCCAATGGAAAAGAGCGGACAATTTTCAGGAAACCCATAATTTCTTCTATATGACCCAAGTTCTCCTCTAGCTCTTTTTGAATGAAGGACTGGTTGCCGCTCCTCAGCTGTATTACCAGCGACCCGTTGATGTGCGTGCAGTAGCGAAGCTGCTGTGCAGACTGGATCGACTCCACGTTGGCTCCTTTGCAGTACATCTCGCATCTCCCAGGGCATTTCTTGCAGCCAAGCAGCTGATCTCTTTCCAATCCTCGTGGGCAAGAATTCACACACAGTGATTCCCATACGAACCAATTTTCTTTAGTTTCCGTCTTGCCTGGTCTTAATAAGGTGTTATTCATTGCCAGGCATTCGTCTTTTGTCACACACCGTTTATTTTCAAATTCATACCTGAAATTAAAAAAAATATAATTATAAACTTAATATTTATCTTCTAAGCATAATCCTATAATTTAAGAAAATAATTTAATAATCTCTTTTTTAGTTCAGAACCTTTCGTAGGCACATTAGTGTAAATGAATATTTTAGCTTTACCATTGCATTACATGTTTGATTTTTTCATTACATATTTGAGGAGTTTTTATGGCATATTTTGTGGGATTTTATTGCATAAAAATCTGATTATCACTTATTCCATTTCAATAAAATACCAAAAATAAGGAACAATAATTGTGGATTGATGGTTGACTGTAGTGAATAATTGAAGAGAATGATCGTTGGGGTGATCAGTCAAAATAAAAAATAGTAAAAATTAATAATTATATTTGCCGACTTTTCGGCCCGAAGTTCAGGCCTTCATCAGGGCTAAGAAAAGAACCAGATAATGATAGCTATGAGAAACTATAAACATTGAATAATAAAGAATTAAAATTAAAAAGTGAAAGGTATAGACTAAAAAATGTAGGTAGAAAAAACTTAAAGTAAACTGAAGTAGATAGAGTGAATATTAAAGTAAAATAAAGTAGATAAAATAATCACAATAACAGAGAACTAAGAAATAATTAATAATAATGGCAACAAAGTACAGATTAATGAAATAAACATAATCAAAATAATGGGTGATATTTATTCAGGACGCAGTCATTATAAGGTTTTTATTAGTGCTGACGTTTCAACCTAAACATGTGGGCCGTCATCACTGAGTACTTACATATTTTCAGTGCTCGAACCACGCCCTGATGATGACCCACATGTTTTGGGTTGAAACTTCGGCACTAATAAAAACTTTATAACGACTGCGTCCTGAATATTTATCACCCATGATATGTAGAAAATTTTTACGATTTTTAGGATATATGAGGTTTTCTTGGGGATGAGGGCGGGGAATTAATGCCAAAAGGGATTAAGTTAAAAGATCTCCTTGGCACCGGGACGCGAACTCACAATTATTTTGTCGTTTATAACTTGGGTTACTGGGCAACGCGCAGTGCTGTGCACACACCTTAGCCCGCTTTGCCATTCCGTCCCTGATGAAAGTTTTCAACTAGCAATAATTTCATTCAATAAATTTACCTCAGTAGACTTTCATTGGCTACGATATTGCCTCTGAATCAATTATTCAATAATGGAGATAAACAGAAAATGCAAGTGGCAGGTGCATCTTTGGTGTGAAAGATCTTTCATCAAAATGCAAAATGCACATGCATTCTGCATCCAGGATTAATGCATCTTGCATTTTGCTTCTTCTGTTTGAAAGATTAATCACAGTTTTATATATTTATGCTAAACCTTCATTAAACAAGCGATATTGAATCAATTTGTTCACCGTTCATGGATTTTTCTTAACTATTTTTTATTTAAATAAATAAACATAAACTTGCACGGCATATTTCCAAAACGTAATAGGAAAGGTTTAAAGATAGTTCTTTAATTTATTGAGAATTTTATTACTACATTAGTATTTTTTTATTTGTGTTCTGAGAATCTTTCTAGATGAATAAAATTTTTGTGTATATAGTTTTATCAGCCAGTAATTAAATTTCCAACATCATTATAGAGGGTGGAGAAGTACTTCCTAGGGCCTAATGTCGAATAGTCAGTCAGCATTACAAGCCCTAGAATCCCCCAAAATGATCTCCACACTGGTGCGGGAGTGTAAGCAGGCATTGGAGACATTGGCCTGCGTAGGGCTAGTGTGGGTAATGAGAAGGCCGTCAACGTCACAAGAAAGAGAGCTGAAATCCCTATTATGGGACCAGAATCTGTGATGGGAATATCAAAGAAACATCAGCAAAACGATGTCCTTGATTGAATATGGAAAAAAAACAGGTAAGGAATGGAGGTAATGCACTCAGACAACTCAAACAGTTTATTAAAAAACCCTTCCCCTCTAGAACTAAGTGGCTGTTAGGCCTAGCTAAAAAGGAAATCCGACTTGTCGTCGGGATACTAATAGTCCACCATAGACTTAAAAGACACCTAAAGATCTGCGGAATGGTCAACGATGAACTTTGCCATCTGTGCGGACAAGCACTGGAAACTGCTCTTTACTATATAACTGAATGTGATGGTTTATGTCGCTTAGGTACGGGCTTCTATTTTTTAATAGAATCCTAGAACAGGAAGCTTCTTCCATAAAAAAACAAAACAAAAAACCTATACACTCATGAAGGGTCTTGGATTCAGTACAATATGAGGAAGTACTGTTACAAGGATAACAGTTTAGGGCCCTGACTATCCGACATTAGGCCCTAGGAAGTACTTCTCCACCCTCTATAATGGTCTTGGAAATTTAATTACTGGCTGATAAGACTATATAAACAAAAATGTTATTCATTCAGAAAGATTCTCAGAACACAAATAAACAAATACTAATGTAGTAATAAAATTCTCAAAAAATTAAAGAACTATCTTTAAACCTTTTCTATTACGTTTTGGAAATACGTCGTGCAGGTATATGTATATGTTTATTTATTCAAATAAAAAATAATAAAGAAAAAGCCATGAACGGTGAACAAATTGATTCCATATCGCTTGTTTAATAAAGGTTTAGCATAAATATATAAAACTGTGATTAATCTTTCAAACAGAAGAAGCAAAATGCAAGATGCATTAATCCTGGATGCAGAATGCATGTGCGTTTTGCATTTTGATGAAAGATCTTTCACACCAAAGATGCACCTGCCACTTGCATTTTCTGTTTATCTCCATTATTGAATAATTGATTCAGAGGCAATATCGTAGCCAATGAAAGTCTACTGAGGTAAATTTATTGAATGAAATTATTGCTAGTTGAAAACTTTCATCAGGGACGGAATGGCAAAGCGGGCTAAAGTGTGTGCACAGCACTGCGCGTTGCCCAGCAACCCAAGTTATAAACGACAAAAATGGAGGTGATGGACAATATCTAGCTCAACCATCAGGTTTACCCCTTACTTAATTAATTAATTTAGAGTACCCACTTTGTAGAGGCTGGATTTGCCCCAGAAGGGTCTCCTGGCCCCAGGGTCGACCCACAGCTGGCGAAAAAATACTATTCATCAGCCAGATTCGAACCTGTGTCCTTGAGCTCTGGAAGTCAGTGCTCACCCACTGAGCTACCCCGTTCCCTGTAAGCTTCTTCCATAAAATGGCCATTTCTCTTGGACTTCATTTGAAGAACGAAAAGATTTGAGACCAAGATGGAGGTAATATAGACTACTATTTGTATTATTGTCTCTGGGGTTAGTAAAAAGAACCATTAAGTCCACATGACGGACTGAGCCCCCTGAGTCCGAAAAACACATTTTTAGCCATTGGTCTGTCTGTGCCAAGATTTTCTCGGGAACTACAGAACCGATTCTGGTTGCTTCTTTTTTTATTTTGTAGGGTTTTGACTACTGATGCCTGTGACAGAAATTCGTTGCTCCGTGCGCAATCTATAGACTGTAGCGCGAAAACGGCTCTAACGCTTTTGATGAAACTTCTCTATGATGTTCTAATCATTGTCCTTTTAATTTTCGTATATAGACTAAATTCCCGAAAAAAAAGTTATAAAGAAAAGAAAAATGTAATGGGGGCCTAACTCCCTAAGTATATATTATACGGTAAAATTTATAATAAAACTTTTGAAAGGTAATTAAATCACCAACAAAACAAAAAAAAAAATCATCGGAATCGAACCAGTATTAGCGATGATACAGCTTAATCTATTTTTTTATACATTTCTGTGTAAAACCAAGACCAAGATGGAGGTAATATAGACTACTATTTGTATTATTGTCACTGAGGTTGCTAAAAAAAACCATTAAGTCTACATGACGGACTGAGGTTCCCTACCTTTACCAGTACTAGTAGAGGCAAATGGAATTAAATAATTTATTAGTTTATTTAAAAAACAAAATAAGCACACTCACGTGGATGGCGGACATGAAGAGACGCAGTTCTTGCCGTGGATAAAGTTCTTGCAGGCGGTGCACTCTTCAGGAGAAGGTCCCGTGCAGCCGCCCATGCACTCTGAGTGACAGTCAGTACCCCATTCTAAAACCTAAGCATAGTATATTAAAAATATAATTATATAATATGAATATTAAGTCTTAAATATCAAACACAATATACTTAAACATCAAAGTAACAAAATTAAAATATTTGCTGTTGCCACTCATATGACTTTCCTTAATACTTAACAATCACATTCCAGTAGCTTGGCACAGAAGGCAAAATAAGATTAATCATTCATAAAATTATGTGCACATAAAAGTATTCCCATTATAATAATAATAATAAGGCTTAGCGAACCCGAAGGTTCGATGCCGACACCACCAATCGCTGGTTACACACCTCCCTCCACCGTTCGCCGTCCAAACCCAGTCCCTTCAGATCGGCTTTAATGCAATCTTCCCACCTTCGCTTCGGTCTACCCCTCGGACGCTTACCATTCGGCATAGCAAATATTAACCTTTTAGGAATTCTCTCGTTACTAAGCCCAACAACTTTACAAGCCCATTTGATTCGCCGCGATGAAATCACCTCAATTATATTACTCGGATACAGCTCACGCAATTCGGCGTTGTGTAACCGTATGAACTCTCCGGTTAACTCATCCTTCTTCGGTCCGAATATTCTGCGCAATACTTTATTTTCAAAAACCCTAAGACGCTGCTCATCCCTTAATGTAAGCGGCCAAGTTTCGCATCCATAAAGAACTGTAGGCAAGATAATTGTTTTATAGATTCTAATTTTTAAGTTTCGGGACAAGAGGCGCGAACTAAGTAGTTTTGTCATAGAAAAATAACAAGCATTCCCCGCCTTCAGTCTAACCTTAATCTCTTCTTCAATTTCGTTTTTTCTAGTTATCGTAGAACCTAGATACCTAAATTTATCTACCTGTTCAAACATATTACCATCTATATCGATATCACCAGTAGTATCGCCATTTTTGCAGCTAACCATATATTTTGTTTTATTCACATTTATTTCGAGTCCTAGTTCTTTACCGGCTTTCATTAACGTTGTCGTATTTAGTTTTATAGTTTCAACGTCTTCGCTTAACATTACCAGATCATCAGCATAGCCCAGCACGGATGTTGTCCCGCCCAGGTCTAACCCTTTCTCGGTTCGCATTACCTCCCTAATGGCATGTTCCAATGCCAAATTGAACAGAACAGGCGAAAGAGAATCCCCCTGTTTTAAGCCCGAACGAACCTCAAATTTTTCGGACAAATTATTACCGATTCTAACTTTATTGAGTGTCTCCGTCAAGCACATCCTGACTAGATTTACTAGTTTTTTTGGAATCCCCTGCTCGATTAGAATATTATACAGTTTCTGGCGGTCAATAGAATCGTAAGCCTTTTTAAAATCTATATACAGCTGGTGAACAATACCGTTATACTCCAAGTTTTTCTCTAATATTTGCCGTAAAGAAAATATTTGATCAATAGTTGAACGATTCCGTCTAAATCCGCATTGGTAGTCTCCGATAATTTCCTCGGCGTATTCCGTGATTCGACTGGTTAAGATTAAAGTGAATATTTTATAACATACCGGAAGGAGTGAAATTCCTCGATAGTTATTATAGTTTAAAAGTATTCCCATTGTTAAGTGCAAATACATATTCAAATATTCGATTCAGATCTATAAATTTGTGATAAAAATTATATTTGTTTAATAAATAAGATTATTCATTCTTAATAATATAACAGTATTCTTTAGGATACCTGTAAATACAACAACTGTATTCACACTTCCAGGTAAATTTGCTAATTTGTAAATACGTGAGAATATGAATATCCCTTTACTGCTACACTATAACTAACGGGTACACTAGGTATAACGGTTACACTAGATATAACTGCTACACTAGATATAACCGCTACAGACCTGGCAGTGAGCCCTGGACCAGCAGTTCCCCCTGGGCGGGCAGTGGCCGCAACCGGGACAGACGCTCCTGTCCTTGGCCGGGACGACGAAGTTGGAGCCCGTGGTGGCGATGAGGTCCCAGTCCACCGTGTCCACGTAGCACAGCTCTGGCAAGAAATAAAATAACAACAATATATAACAAAGTATCAACAATATATAACAAAGTATCAACAATATATAACAAAGTATCAACAATATATAACGAAGTATCAACAATATATAACAATAATTCACAAAGAATATTCTTCAATGAACAAATAATAAATAAAAGTATCATAAGATGAAAGAATTATTTAATATTTTTTCTGTAATTGTAATCGACTAAGAGAAAAACATCTAAGGTGTGTGCTTTAGACTTAATAGTTCATTTCAAAGAGGGTCAAATTCTGAACGTTATGTTACATACTCAGCACAAATATCTCGACAATTTGATCAGTATATGTTATCGCCATTAAACTTCAATAATAAAAAAATATTTACAATGCACATACATATTTTTTTTAAAAAAACTTATTTATTGAAAAATATTACAATCTGTCTCAAGGACGTTTATAATAGTGTTTAGAGATCACATTCACACTCTATGCACAATAAATAAAATAAATTATACCTAAAAAATAAATAAAAAGAACACATATTTACAATGTGGCGAGAGAACTCCAAACCAGACTTGTCCCTCCAATTGTGGTCTTGTCTCTCTCAACCGCGTCACTGGGGCCAAACCCAGTGGAGATTTAGCAAGAGTGCTTTAGCCACATACACTCGTGAGTGGAGAATCTGGCCATTGCCAGAACTCCAATATTTACAAACTATAAAAGGTCGCGGGACCACTGCCGTTTTAACTTTCTTGGAGGATTATAGCGATAGGTGGTGCTGGATAGGGATTGTGCCAAAGGATTTGGATGATGGGTAAAGTTCTGATGAAATTTGGAGAATTTTGCTGCGATAAGGTCTAGGACAAATGGGATATTTAGTTCATGGTGTAGAGTTTTGTTGATTACATAGCAAGGAGCATCGACTATTGTTCAAAGGACTTTGGATTGGAAGGTTTGGATGTGTTTGATGTTAGAAAATTTTGCTGTTCCCCACAGTTCAAGTCCGCAAACCCAAGTAGGTTTCAGTATTGTCTTGTAGATAAGTATTTTTTTATTTTCAAAAGAGAGTTTAGATTTTCTATTTAGTAGTACGTATAGTTGGCCATATCGTCGGTTAAGTTCCTGTTTTTTAAGTCTAGTATGAGGGTACCACGTTAGTCGTCTGCCTAAGAGAAAGCCAAGGTACCGGACTGTGTCTGAGAAGAGAAGCTGGATGGAATTAAAGTGTACTGGTGGATAGGAACTGCGTCGGAGTGTGAAGGTGATGTGTTGGCATTTGGATTCATTTAATTTAATACGCCATTATACATATTAAACATTATACATATTTAAATTTACGATTTGAATATTTTATCATATAACAATAAGAAATAAAATATACATTATTGGCACATTGCACGAGCAAGCTTGTGTGGCGCTGCCAGTTAGCGGACAGGTGAACTAGTTTTTCCCTTGTTCTCCGCGGGAACCGCAACTATTTCCCTCGCTTGCAGTATGCAGATCCGATTTCAAGCTTCTGAGATATTTTAATCCCTATTTTCTATAAAACCCTTTAATTTAGGTATGCGGTTCTATTGTATCCCAGTATTTTTCAATTATTTTTATTACATCTTTCCAGTTGACATTGGTAAAAAAATTTTCTATATCAAAACAGACCAAACAATATTTACCTATTGTCTATTTTAGTTGTTCTTTCAAGCATTTGATCTATCAAGTTTTTTACATCAATTTTACTATCTGATTTTAGATTATTGAGTGTGGGATTGAGATATTAAGCCAATTTTTTCAGTTTCCCCATCGATATTACTGGTGATAGGACTGAGTGAAGCGCCACTTTTATGTAACTTTACTAATCTATGTATTCTAGGTGTATTGAAGTTAGGGTTAATTAATTTAATCTTGTTTAATAAGAAATTTTTAAAGTTAATAACTAAGTTCTATTGCATAAAATATAGATATCAAAGCAAGGCCAATCTAAAAATGTCCTTAATGATTTATAATTTACTTATTTAAATTAGTGATATTTAGTTTATTTAGTATGAACGACTATGTAATATTTATATTTATACTTAATTATATTTATTTACTTGGACACTATATTTATGCCTTTTCTACTTTCTTACAGGGTGTTGGGTTAAGATACAATTTTGAATAATAGCTCATTACAAAGAAGAGAAAATGCTAAACATTTCTCTGGCTTACAGTATACAGGTCCGATTTTTAGTATCTGAAATATTTTAATCCACATATTCAACTAACCTTATTATCATTTGGTTTTCATCTCTATTTTTTTCCTTTTCACCTCCCTAACACGGTGTCGCGTTAAGATACAATTTTGAATTATAGCTTATTACAGAGAGGATGAAATGTTGAACAATTTCCTCGCATACAGATTTTTAGTTTGTGAGATATTTTAAACCATATGTAAAAACATTTCAATCAATCGACTATAGGCGACTTTACTCGAGCAAATAACGTTTTTTATTTAATACCTCCCATAAGGAATAAATAAATAAAAACTTTTGACATGTATTTATTTCTGCAGTTCTAATATGTTTCCATACATCCAACTGCACAGCCTTCCGTTAACCATTCTCTTTCATTTTCTTTTTAATTGAAAAGCTCCCTTTGAAAAATTATTTCACTGCAAATATTCTCGATGCAACCTGTCTGCAGTTATTAAGATTGCTATCCCGGTAATTGATATAATTGGATGTTTTCAGGAGAGGGGTAGCCGAGCGGGCTAATGCGTGTGCTCAGCACCATATGTTGCCTGGCAACCCGGATAGAAGTTGTGATAAAATAATACCGAGGGGAGGCTTTTAACTCTGGCCCGTTATTATTAATCCCTCCCCCCTGCTCCCTGGCCTGGGAAAACCACGTATAACCTAAATGGCGACAAAAGGGAGGAAAAAAAAAAACAACTGTAAGACAGGTGCCAGGAAAATAATAAATGATTACTGATCTTTTACGAGTATATTATGTTTAACATGCATGGAACGATATAATCTAATTACTAACTACACTAATTTAATTACATTAAATAACAATAAATATAATAGAACTCTAAATATAATAAAATAATTATCAAAAAAAAAAAGTGCATATAAATACTAAAATAACAATAACATGCGCATGCTAGCTAAATAAATTTCCATATAATGCTACTTAATAGTTGGCTCGAGAAATAAATATGGTAACTATTAACACAACCAACAAATAATTTAACTCTCCACCAGACGTCAGCCTCCAGAAGGTATCCTATTCCTTGGCGTCCTAGCTAGATATCCCCACTGAAAAGAAACATCTATATCATTTCTCTATGTCAATCGATTCATAAGGTCGATATGAAATCGATATTGATAATGACCCCTCATTATTGAACTACACAAGATAGTTCAGTTTGCTTGTGAAAGGTATCGTAAATGTGTTACCTGCTCGTGGGGATTTATCCTAACAGAGGTGTGTTCTTCTATTGGCTTCTTTATCACAGAATGCAGTGCTAACATGGGAGACATCCACTCGTACCAACTCTCACCATTTTCCGAACCTTCCTACGGTTTTCTCAGCTCAGTGTTGCCACCGGTCATAGTTCGCAGGAGGTCCAATCCTCCAATATAGCCCCCCCCCCCCCTCACAACAACAAAACACGAAGGGCGTAGTAAAATACTTGGGTACCTTACCTAAAATACTTTGTATTAATCCTCCGTCCTTACCCCTGGCCCGGGAAACCACCGTATTGCCTAAAAGGCAAGGAAGGGGAGGACAAAAAAAAAAAAAAAAAAAAAAATTGAATGTATTCAGTGGATGAGCCGTTTCAACTATCACATATATATTATCCTTAATTCCTTCCTTTTCATGATTTCTTATTTTTATCGATTCTGTGTTGAAGGATCGTCATATTGCTAATTTAGTTTTAACCAGAGGGCAGGTGTACAATATGCGGGCGCGAACAAATTTACCCAATTTTTTAAAAAGTTTTGTTAGTTTAAAATTTCAACATATGTTGCTAGATTATAACAATAATCTTAGTTATAACTAATCCGTACATATATTATTACAGTAAGGCTCGAAATCGGTTTTGTACCAAATATAAGCTCCTGTCATGCTCAAATAACAGGAATGGGGTACCGTTGGATTCAGAATTACACGAGGGGTTAGCGAATCGTATTCTCCGCTTTTGTTTTTCTTTCTAAAATAAATAAAGTCGATACAAACATTTTGCTAGGCTTCAATACTGGAACGGTGGTAGGTCTGTAGATCGATGCGGGACAAATTGGAAGATTTTGATGCATACAGTAAGACCCTGAAAGTTCCTCCGGAACTATCGGATCCTGCGTTTTTAAGCCCAAAAACGTACTATTTTCGAGATAACGCAAGGCATAGGGTTCGCATCCACACAACCTGACGTTAATTGTAGTACTGGCATTGGATACATGTCTCATTTCGTCGACTTGAGGCCTCTATGATCGAGAGAGGGGGAGTTTATATTATTTATCGATGGTGTTTTTGATCGGCAAGCCTTTTCATCGTTAATTCTTCACCAAATCTCAAGATTGAAAGCTTCCTTCTCCTTCAGGCGGGAAAAATATTCCAACCACCCCGAAAATTCAGGCAATCAAGTTATGAAAAAAAAGAAACTTTATTTGCGAATAACTAAAAAATTACACACTTTTCCCTATGTCATTCCTATGATTATATAAAACATTACTTAATTGTCTATAAAAGGAAAAAAAAATCATTGAAATCGGACAATTTTTCGCAAAGATACAGCTTATTGAAATTTGTAAATATGTTGGTTCCAAACAAAACTGAAGATTTAAATTAATTTTGTTTTCTTTGTGGATTATATTTATGGATAAAGTTTCTTTATCTTTTGATACGTTGCATTATTTTATTTTCTTATTAATTTATCATTTGATAACAATATGCTGTGCGAATTTTTCGCACGGGCCTACTAGTAAATAATAATATGAGAAGGAGTTAGTCGGGGGTGCGGTCAAATAAATACTAAATTAAAATAATTACTATATTTTAATTTATTATTTATTTGACCGTACCCTCGACTAACTCCTCATATTAAATCAACGGTCAACCATCTCTACATCATTATAATAATAATAGTTAACTTTAAACCACTATGTAATAATCTACAGGGTTTTCCCATTCCTATAGATTTGAACTAAAAAAAAAATAAATAAATAAATAAATGGAGCTATCCAGAAGATTCATCATGTTCCTCCTTGCATTGCATCTAGACACACCATTCTAAAAATAACATGTCATTGATTTCTCCACCCCCTTCGTCAAATTTCTTATCGCGTGTTTTCCCTAACCTTAAAATAAAACAAAATAAATCTTGAAGTAGCCAGGATTTTCAGTTTATTTTATTTTTTTTTTAATTTAAATTTTATATATTTATTTTATTATTATTATTTATTTTACAAACTGATGTCTCAAACCAAGCTAAAAATAAAAAATCTAACTAGAGACATAAGATATAGTAATACAAACATAACAGGATACAAAGAGAATGAAAAGAAACATATTAAACAAAAAAGGAAGAAAGAAAATCCGTAGAGCAACAGAGGAGAAAAAGGGGCTAAACCGTTTTGCCTTTGCCTATTCATATAATAAATAATAATTACAATAAATTACATTAAATATGTATAAATCTTACATATTTCATTTATGCTTAGGTGGATAAATACGCTTTAACAAAGATAAAAACGCTGCAATTATTTCACAATGGTTTATTATTTCCAAAACGGTTATACATCTAAATTAACAATACCTTCCTAGTTACAAAGAAAAATAAATAAAAGGTGATTCAAATTATTGGACTAAACCTTTTTTTTTAATCATTAGTAATATGCTAAAAAAAAAAAAAATAGTATTTCTTCAGTAACACATTCAAAAATAAAAAACGAAACAAAGGATATAACATTTGCAGTAGACCATAAAAAAAATCTAGATGCCATGTATTTGCTCATAATTGGCCGATTTTGACGATTATTTATTTTTTAGGAAATTTTGTAAACATTCAAATAACCATCGGTACATTCGTTTAGGCGCTACAGTGTATAGCAACGCAGGCTTTTCGGCCGCCATCTTGGGAGGAAAAGGCGGATAGAAATGTCGATGAAGGAGGACCATTCTCGGGTGACCTGTTATTTTAAATCAAAATTTGAAAAATATTGGTCCAGTAGTTTCGAAGAAAATGCGCGGACAGCGGATAGACAAAAAAATGTTATTCGTTTTTCGAATTCTATGTATCCTGAAACGTAAAAACTCAAAGATTGAGAGGGGTTAAGTTTTTGATATTTTGGTCGATTACAATGGTTCAATATTGAAAATAATAAACAATTTTAAAAAATCGCGATATCTTTACTAATAGTACTCTGATTTTGATAAAAATTTCTTCATTTTTTAGGAAATTTAAATATCTTTGAAACATCATATCACAATATCGACAAAAAAGTGTATAATTTTTGAATTATTCGGCATCTAATTTTACCATCCCTTGTAACTTTTTTTCAGCCTCTTTTCTTTGAAGTAAGTTATATAGATAAATTTAAAGGGCATCGAGAATAATACTTTAGCCATGTTTCATTGTAATCGGTACATTCGGTTAGGCGTTACAGTCTATAGCAACGCAGGTTTTTCGGCCGCCATCTTGAAAGAATAAGGCGGATAGTAATGTCGATGAATCAGGATCATCCTCGGGTGACCTCTGATTTTAAATTCAAATATCGGTCCAGTAACTTCGGAGAAAATGCGCGGACGGCGTACGTAAATTTTGGAAAGGCGGTTAAGTTTTCGAAGTTTTCGTTCGATTACAATGGTTCATTATTGACAATAATAAACCAAAAGTTGTAAATAGCAATCTAAACAGAAAGAGAGGTTATATTGTGAAGAAGTAAGTTTTTAGCATTACCTAAAATACTTTCATCGACATTAAATCGCTGCCAGACTGAAATATACACATGTAAGATGCCAAGCTCAAAGACCTAACATTCTCTAAGATCCACGCAATCGAAAACCCGAACTTACATCGATACAATTTAGTCAGGCTTTCAGAGGAACGCTTAGACCTATTATCTTTAAATATAAAAATAAAATCAATCATTTATGATTGAACATCTATAGCTTGTTACGAAAAATAAATATGTTTACAGAAATCATCATATGTGATAACTGTTTTATAAAATATAATCTGCGTATGATTTGAAAAATAAATATAAAAGTGAAATATTTATTTTATTTAAAAGAAAAAGTTTATTTAATGATTACAAAATAATACCAAAATATAATGGTGTCAAAGGAGAGCACAGTCCGAGAAAAAGCGATCAAACGACTTATGGCGGATCACATCAAGTATGTTTTCTCTATAATTTTTTTTTTGTTTTAATGAGGAATTGAAGTAATACATAATATGAAAGCAACAAAGCAAAGGTTCCAGTCCACTGAGGCAACACTCAACGGCATATTGGCTTGATGCTTTTTTCCTAGCGTTGCCTATTTTAGGCGTCCAGACTATGTGGCACAAAATTAAATTAATGTCGCATGCGGAATAAGTTGCCCCACGTCGCATGTGAGTTGTACATGAGTTTAGCATACATCCAAAGCCCAGCATACCCTAGGCCGTCCAGAACAGGGCCTTCTATTGTAAGAACCAGTTTCCCGAAAACGCCTGACGGTGTCTCGTAAAGTTTCATATGGAACTCCCATGGCATTAGCTGCATATCTAATGGAACGTCCATCATCAATAAGTGCCACACCACGCGCAACATCCTCAGCACTAAGAGGCATTTTTATACTTAATATTGAAAAAATTAAAAGCCTGAGAATAAGAAATGTGCTACGCAGATCAGGACTGAATAATGATACTGAATAAACATTTTGATTCTAGATAGGTCAAGTAAACATTGGAATCTAGGATTATTACTTTTATTGTACATTAAAGGAACATCACTATTTTCGAAAACAAACAAAAGGATTATATATTTATTCATTAAAAACAATAGACCAATCCAAAGCAGAAATATTTTTAGATGAAAACATGAAAAAATCAAGTGGGTGGAATTCTTTGCCTGTCAGTATATATATACTATAATCCTGAGTTCTTAAAAAACAATTTGAGCTAAAAATACTGAAACATTTTTAAATAAAATGTACTTATCTGGATTATTAATTGACTTGAAATTAAAGGAACCCGAACAATATACCAAGTTTAAATATTCCTAGATGTCAATTTCCCTATCAACCGACCAAAATGTTTCAATAGATATGGAAGTACATTCTTTTAGGGTGGATAGAATTTCCCAATATCTGTGGTCGTTTTTATTTAATTAAAATATTTTTTCATATGACACGCTTGAAGTGTAGTGGAAAATTCAACCCAATATTGAGTTGGGTGCATCGATGTCCAATAAAAAACTCAGTAGCTCAAAAGCAAACCATTTCCCGTTTTTTGCTGAAGTTTTTCGCTCTTGCGATGAAATGCTGACGGAAAATTCTGATAATTTTTACCTCGATCACAGTACAGTTATATTTTCCTTTTTAAATAAATAAACTAATTATTTTCACCTCCACCATCTTACAATAATTATATTTATCCGATAATTGTTTAAACATATCGTTTTTAATTCTTATTTTTCAATAAAAGAATTATTGAAGGAAGTTAATCGACTGTTCTAAATATCATAGGTGATAAATAGTCAGGAAGCAGTCATTTTTAAGGTTTTTATTAGTGCCGACGTTTTAACCCAAGCATGTGGATCATCATCAGGGCGTGTTTCGAGCACTGAAGGTATTCGAGCACTGGCCATGAATGAAACGTCGGCACAAATAAAAACCTTAAAAATGACTGAGTCCTGACTATTTATCACCTATAATAAAAGAGGTAGTTTTTTCGTTGGTCCATTCCAGGTTGCTCTCCCCAAGCCGCACCGATTCGTTGGCTGTTGGACAGGCAACAACGGTTAACTTGTAGCATGGGTCAATGCCGCATGCTACATATTGCTTAAAGCTTACCTTAGTGGAATTGCAACTTAATAATAAGAAAGTAAGTACTGTTATCAAATGGAAAATAAAAATAAATGATAAAAAAAACTGAAGCAATTATTTTTACAAAAAGAAGACCAAGCATAAACCACAATATACACACAAAAGAAGTACGGATTCCTTGGTCCAGTTCCGTGAAATATTTAGGCCTAGAACTTGATAGGTCCCTAAATTTTATCCAAAATATTAACAACAAGTGCAATAAAGCAAGATTTCACCATATTTTAATAGATATTCACAACTGAATACAAAAAATTAACTAATTTTATATAAAACAGTAATCCGCTCTTTAATCACTTATTCTGCCCCAGTATGGAGTTACACATGCGAGACTAATTACAAAAAACTCGAAGTAATTCAAAATATGTGTATGAGAATCATAAACAATTATCCAAGTTATACCAAAGTATCTATTATGCTAGCAGAAGTACAGCTTCCCACAATAAAAAAAATATATTTATTTTAAAACACAGAGATTTTTTGAGCTAACACCAACGTCTGAAAACCCTATGATCCGAACAATAGGAAACTATGACAAAACATCTTTGAAACGGTACACACACAGACGGACTAAACACATACTACTAAACGTCTAAATCAATCAATTTATTTGTGAAAACTTAACGGTTTCTTATCTATCGCCAAACAAGTAACAATAAACTCAATCACCCCAATCAACAAATTGTATTCATATGATGTGTGTGTATGTATATATTTGTGTATGTATATATATCTATATATATATATATATATATATATGTGTGTGAGTAAATATGTGTATGCGTGTGTATGTAAATATATATATATAGTTTCCTTTTGCACATAAATTATATTTAGTTTTTCTTGTACGTTTAATGATTGTAACCTAGTTTTTTCATTTATATCTTGTGTAGGTTTTTTATGAGATTTTTCCTACTGTAAAAAATGAATTTCAATTTTCTAAGTAGTATTCAAACCACTAACACATGTTGTAACGTTGTAATGTATATAAAAAAAATATAAAAAAGTACTGTAACGCTAAGCTTTTTTATGATAATAATTATTATTATGATTTATTAAATTGTTTCAGATTGAAAAACACACCGGAAATAGGCATACACGCAGAGCCATCTGTGAAGTCAATGCTAACATGGGAAGGATACATAAATGGGTAATTTAGAACTAACAATATAACTACCTAGTCCTGTCATAAATATTGTTACAAAATATACACAGATTTCAACAGAAAAATTAATTTTTTCAAAAACTTTATTAGAAAATAAAATGTATATCTATGAAGAGTAAAACAAAAACGAAGTTACTCAAAATGTTCCCCTTTTGCCTTGACACAGGCATTTAATCTCCTTGGCCAGGCATCAATAGCAGTTACTCAACGCGAGCAGCAACTTCTTGAGGAAAGCGCTCAACTTCTCGGACCAGAGATTGTTTGAGGCTTTACAAGTTAGGGTATGCTCAGTGGCATGCCATCCTATCCAGTTCGGACCTAAGCCGATAATCTGGTTGAGATCAGGGCTTCCTGTGGGCTAGGCAAGTTTAATTAAAATTGTTACAGCCGTTTTGGCGCTATAGGCTATCGCAGAGACACAGTTTTTCAGTCGCCATTTTGATAAGTGTTGGTCAAAATCGGTCTTGATGTTGCACTTTGCAAGACCAAGACCAATACCATCTAACTGTTTCAACACCAAGACTAGTAAAAAAAATAGATTTTTTGAATAAATATTAAGATAACATAGTTACTAATACTTGACAATTTTAGTTATTGTATGTAAAGAATTGGTATAACCAATATACTTTTGCATTTAACTCTTCTAATTTTTCATTCGAGTTTAGTTAGATTTCTCCCATATAAAAAAATTACAGTAATATCTCTATAATAATAAGTTAATAAGTAACTGCAAGACCAGGACGAGTCTTGGTCTTGCATTTGGGCAATACTGATTTCGATCAACACCCAACTAAAACTTCGTGAACGCCTTTATCTTATAATAACTTAAAACTTTATTTTTTTTTTAATTTTCGAAATGATGGGACATTTCCAATCTGGAGATCAGTAAGCTTTATATATATAGAAACTCACGGACACTTATTTCTTTTCCACTTGAATTGTAAAAAAAATTAATCATAAAATCCAAAAAAAGGTGGCCTACAAAAACATTGGCCCTTTTCAAAAACTTTTGATAAAAACTGGTCTGAACATTTTTCAACTTTAAGCACACCAATGAATTTTTGCATTTTGATTAAAATATCTCAGAAACTAGAAATCAGACCTCAATCTGTAAGTGAGGAAATCGTTCAACATTTCATTCTCTTTGTAATAAGCTATAATCCAAAATTGTATCTTATTGCGACGCCTTGTTAAGGAGGCAAAGGGAAAAAATAATAATATCGAAAAGCAAATGATAACGAGTTTTATTGAAGATGTGAACTAAAATATCTCAGAAATTAAAAATCGGAATTGCATAGTAGCCGAGGATATTGTTCAGCATATAATTCTCTTTGTAATGAGCTATTATTAAAAAATTTATCTTAACGGCACGCCGTGTTAGAGAGGCGAAAAGAGAAAAATATAGCGTCACTGGTGTGCTTAAAGTAGAAAAGAGCTTTTGTATGTAAGGGTGGATCAAAGTAGGGACACGCCCCTTCTAGGATAGAGTGCAACCGTCAATATAATAATTTATTCTTTTATTTTATTTTTTTGTTTCGTTTTTTAGACCAGAAGGCTCTTATTACGAAGGAGGAACATTCCATATAATTATAAATTTTCCTAAAGACTATCCTCAGAAACCGCCTGATGTGAAATTCACATCACATATTCTGCACCCCAACATATTCTTCAACGGAGAGATTTGCTTGGAAGAACTTGAAGACGAATGGGACTCTAGTTACGACGTGTTGTCGATACTTCTCTTGATCCAGGTAATTATTATTATTTTTAATTAAGTCTTCTCGGATTCTCAACCTTCTTTTCATCAAATCATTAAAATCCGTCTAAAGCTTTGCGGGTGGATAATATCGATAACCCTCAACTTTAAAAAAAAAAAAATATGGCGGGACTGTGGAAATTAAGGTTTCTCAATAGTCATAATAAGAGATAATAAGAGAAGAATAGTAGGGGTGATCAGTCAAATAAGAAGGCAAAAATAAATGATAATATTTATTTTGACATTTGCCGACGTTTCGATCTGAAGTTCAGGCCTTCATAAGGGCTAAGAAAAGAACCAGATAAACAAGGTATGAGAAACATAAGTAGTGTAGGTGTTGTTTTTACAAATTAAAGTAAAATGAAGTTGTTAGAATAATGACAATAGTAAGAACTGAGAGATAAATAATAATAAGCGGTACAAAGTGTGGAATGATGAAGTAATAATAATAATAATAAGGCTTAGCGAACCCGAAGGTTCGATGCCGACACCACCAATCGCTTGTTACACACCTCTCTCCACCGTTCGCCGTCCAAACCCAGTCCCTTCAGATCGGCTTTAATGCAATCTTCCCACCTTCGCTTCGGTCTACCCCTCGGACGCTTACCATTCGGCACAGCAAATATTAACCTTTTAGGAATTCTCTCGTTACTAAGCCCAACAACTTTACAAGCCCATTTGATTCGCCGCGATGAAATTACATCAATTATATTACCCGGATACAGCTCACCCAATTCGGCGTTGTGTAGCCGTCTGAACTCTCCGGTTAACTCATCCTTCTTCGGTCCGAATATTCTACGCAATACTTTATTTTCAAAAACCTTAAGACGCTGCTCATCCCTTAATGTAAGCAGCCAAGTTTCGCATCCATAAAGAACTGTAGGCAAGATAATTGTTTTATAGATTCTAATTTTAAGTTCCGGGACAAGAGGCGCGAACTAAGTAGTTTTGTCACAGAAAAATAAAAAGCATTTCCCGCCTTCAGTCTAACCTTAATCTCTTCTTCAATTTCGTTTTTTCTAGTTATCGTTGAACCTAGATACCTAAATTTATCTACCTGTTCAAACATATTACCATCTATATCGATGTCACCAGTAGTATCGCCATTTTTGCAGCTAACCATATATTTTGTTTTATCCACGTTTATTTCGAGTCCTAGTTCTTTCCCGGCTTTCATTAACGTTGTCGTATTTAGTTTTATAGTTTCAACGTCTTCGCTTAACAGTACCAGATCATCAGCATAGCCCAGCACGGAAGTTGTCCCGCCCAGATCCAACCCTTTCTCAGTTCGCATTACTTCCCTAATGGCATGTTCTAATGCCAAATTGAACAGGACAGGCGAAAGAGAATCCTCCTGTTTTAAGCCCGAACGAACCTCAAATTTTTCGGACAAATTATTACCGATTCTAACTTTATTGAGTGTCTCCGTCAAGCACATCCTGACTAGATTTACTAGTTTTTTTGGAATCCCCTGCTCGATTAGAATATTATACAGTTTCTGGCGGTCAATAGAATCGTAAGCCTTTTTAAAATCTATATACAGCTGGTGAACAATACCGTTATACTCCAATTTTTTCTCTAATATTTGCCGTAAAGAAAATATTTGATCAATAGTCGAAAGATTCCGTCTAAATCCGCATTGGTAGTCTCCGATAATTTCCTCGGCGTATTCCGTGATTCGACTGGTTAAGATTGAAGTGAATATTTTATAACATACCGGAAGGAGTGAAATTCCTCGATAGTTATTACAATCCGTCCTCGGACCCTTTTTGTGAATCGGAATAAGAATAGATTCTTTCCATTCTTCAGGTAATTTCTCGTTCACCCAGATCTTTTTAACCAACCGATGTATTTTAGAAACTCCAGCTTCTCCGCATGCCTTAATTAGTTCAGTAGGAATATTATCGATTCCCGCTGCTTTATATGATTTTATTTTTCCGATAGCTCCTTCAACTTCCTCTTTACTCGGTCCTTCTATTAACGGTTCAGCACTCTGGTACTCAGAAGGAGGACACAGATCATAATTTCCCGTATTTAAAATATTGTCAAAGTGGTCCTTAAACTTATTCAATATGTCAACCGGATCGGTCAGAATATTGTTATTATCATCCCTAATTCCAGACGTTACGGGCCCTACATATTTACGTGATCTGTTTATACCTTTGTACATTTCTCTTACGTTATTTTCGATTCTATTAGTTTCTATTTCAATTATTTTATTTTTAAGATACTCCCTTTTTTTATTTTTCAGCAATTTTGTCGTTTCGTTCTTTGAGATTCGGAAGTATTCCAGATTGTCTTCGCAAGGATTATTTAGAGCTTTTAATTTAGCGGCTTTTCTTTTTTCGCACATGTTTAAGCAATCTTCATCAAACCACGGTTTGTTATTCTTAGTTTCCTTTTTTCCTAGGCACGAGTTACCGACCGCTTTTATATTATCCCTGATCTCTACCCATAACTTGTCAATATCCTCGTGGTCCTCGTCAGGAAGCTCTAAAGCTTCAAACCTATTCTTAACATCTAGCTCGAATTGGGTTCTAATTGATGGATTTTTTAATTTTTCCAAATTAAAATTCTCAAAATCGAAACGGTTTTCTTTTCTCTTTTTTATATTAAGTTTTTGTCGAAGTTTCGCGATTACTAATTCATGATCCGACCCACATTCTGCTCCGCGATAAGACCTTACATTAATTATACTGCTTTGCCAGCTATGTTGTATCAAGACATGATCTATTTGATTTCGTGTTTGCGAATCCGGTGATGTCCAAGTATATTTATGAATATCCTTATGTTTAAACGTCGTACTTTTAATTATCAGGTTTTTCGAGATGGCAAAGTTTATCAGACGGATCCCATTATCATTATTATATTCGTGCAAACTTTCTTTACCAATCGTCGGAATATAAACTTCTTCCCTTCCTACCTTTGCGTTCGCGTCACCTACAATTATTTTCATGTAGTTTCGCGGCATGAATGATGAAATAAACATAATAAAAAAAGGTGACATAAGTATTAAAATGGGAATCTTAGAATAAAATGTAAAACAGAAAAGGATATGAAGCTATATAAGAAATGAAAATAAATAGTAAAATTAAGATATTGTAATGTAAAGTCTATCAAGATGTACAGACAACGTATAATATAATAAAAAATTAAAACAGAGAAAAGGAAGCGGGAAAGAAACTGAGAAGGCTGAAATAAGAAAGAGAAAAAGAAAAAACAAACCGTTCTTCAAAAAGGTTGATGAAGAAATGAGAATCTGGTAGGAAGGGAGGGGGGAGAGAAGAGATGTATAGTGGCGTCATCTCTAACGGTTATCTGACGAAGTTTGAACTAAAGTACCGAAAGCGTAAATAATGGAACTTCAGGTCGAAATGTCAAAATAAATATTATCATTTATTTTTGCCTTCTTTTTTGGCTGGTCACTCCAAACTATTATTCTCTTCATTATTCACAACAGTCAACCATTTACCCACAATTAGTCATAATAAAAGCTTTGTTATTTGGGTATTTGTTTAGGTGGCACACAACTAAACCGACCACCACCGATCCATTCAAATTGTTTAAGCGTTTAATTTTCATTTATGATTATTTATTGTTAATTCTGAGTTCGTGGTGGCCTACACAAATATTGGGCCGTTTATCCTATACAACCTCGTTATTTTGAAAATTTTGGGGTATATGTCTCTCCAATAGGCTTTCTTTACACAGTCGTTCGTAACCGCGTATCTCGTAATTTTAAATATATTACTTATTTAGCCTGTTTGATACATAGCACTTACCAGGAACTACTTTATTATACAAATTTTATCATTAATAGAAACTGAATTTTTCCGAAGTAAAATGACAAAAAAGGTGCAGTATATCTTTTTTCAAAATTTCTAAAATCGTGTAATTAAAACATAAAAAGTGTAAAATTGTGAAATGAAAATACTTTATCATCTTGATTGTTCCTTTAGAATAAATTAAATATACATTCCAGTGTGGTTATATATTAAATTACAGACTTTACAATTAGAAAAATATAGGAGGGTAGATGAGTTCTAATGAGCTGGTATAGAAAGGTGGCAAGGAAGTACTTATAGCGCACAGTGGGACGTCCTAGTCTTGCGGGACCAAAGTCAAAATATCGACGGTTAATTTTTTTGTGGAAAATGGAATTAAACGTTTGTTGACTGGCCAGTCTATCGACTGCTTCTTGCAGTGCCCTATTCCCGGATGGAGATCTACAATATGGCTCGAAACGTCGGTGTAACAATTAAAATACAATTTTAAAAATTAGTATTTATTTGACCACAATCCCTGACCAACTCCTTTTCATATTTTATCATTTATACAATAAAATGTATGATTTACTTGGATAGCAATTATATTACCTATATACCAAAAATGTCTAGTCTAAAATACTATTCCATTTCTGGATAATAACTAGAAAATATTATTATTAAAGAAAAAATCGGAAATTTAAAAACTTTATTTTGCCCGCATGCCGATTCAGTAACTTCGGCATGCAAACCATGTGTAGGACGTCCCTGTTTTAACATTAAATCTAATATATTGCAGTAGACATCCCCCTGTATTTACTCCTTTAGTTGACATTGGTTGAGGGAATGAGAAGGAATATATAATATATAGGAATGTGAGGTTGCATTGTGAATTGCACTCAATTGTGCAGAGAAAAAATTGCTAATTGGAAAATCTCATATCGATAAACAATCGATAAAGAAGGAAAAAGGTCCGGTCAGGTTGCAGCAGCTGGAAGACGACGCCAATCACTTGAGGTTGAGACATGGAGGCGAGAGGATGTGACCTGAGATAAGAGAGGCTTACTACATTGAAGACCAAGAATATCAAGCCTACAGTTATTAGACTTTAATAGATTCACTTATATCAGTTGTAAAAATAAATTGTTTTGTTAGACAGGAGTGAAAAGCCAGTTTATTTAGTTGTCCTATAGGTCTCACAATTGAAGAATAACAAACCACCTGGTTGATTCATTGATTGAGTCAATTCATTCAAAGTGTATTTACTCAGTCCCACATTTCAAACATATATATTCTTATTGTTTCTTCTCACTCAGTGTCACAAAAGGTATTAGATTCCCGAATTCCCAACAACAGTTAAACACCCTCAAAAGTCTATATCCAGTGTCGGGGTTTAGTTTTAATAATTCACGAGTGTAAATATCCTAAATCCCCGATAAAAAGCGAAAGGCTATGCGCCTATTTCTGCCAAAAAACAAATGATTTAAAATTAACTTTATTAGGTTATTTGCAATATAAATAAATATTTGCAAACAAACTTATGGATATATAATACAGAAAATTTAGTTCAAACATTTAATCGTATGTCTCTAAAACCTAAATTTAACCTTTGAGGTGCAAAATGTGCAATGTGAGGCAAAAAAACTGTAAATAGTTAATTAGTAAAATATTGTATCATGGATGATAAATCTTCAGGACGCAGTTATTATCATCAACATGACCTACATGTTTGGGTTGAAACGTCCGCACAAATAAAAAAAAATTATAATGACTGCGTCCTGAATATTTATCACTGAATATAGTGATATAATATATATGTATCACTCAATATAGTGATATAATACATATGTATCACTGAATATATTTATCTATATGATATGTAGAACAGTCGACTAGTTTCCTTCAATATTTCATAAAATATTGTATCATTCACAGCATCTTCTCAGGGAGCCCAACTTTTCTTCTCCCGCCAATCCGAAAGCATCTATGCTTTTTAGGAAGAACAAGGAAGAGTACAAAAATGAGGTGAAGGCCTGTATAAAGAAGAATGAAGAATATGAAGAAATCGAAAATAAAAAAGATAGTTATTAACTATATTTATTTACTTCTATCAACTATTCCTATTTATGGTGTCTCAAATTCTTCTGATAAATTAATAAATCTACTTAGATTAATTTATTAATAAATAAATATGAATAAATGAAATAAATATGAATAATAAAAAAAAAAAAAAAAGTAAATCTTCTTAAACACAGTTATACCTATGTCCCAGTATATAGCGTTACATAAAGAGAACGACTAAAAATCATAGGCAAATTAAGAGGGGTTATTCATTATTATGAAAAATGGCTCTGGCACCGGCCGAAATATTTGTCTTTTAAAATATTTATGTTATAAAATCAATAAAGCTATGTTGATCAAACGGTATTATGAATCTATGAACAGAAGACATTTTTATTTAATCATACATATATATAAGAACAATATATATTTTTTAAATTTATTTTTTGTTTGTCCACACCTATCACTCAGACAAAGACAATAAGCGGGCGTGTTGTTAATTGTCAGAATTGAATTTCGAGGCATGAGCCCTTCCCTTACCTGTCGGCACCAACTCCTCACTTTAAATGAACAATGAATCCTGGAGATCTCTTTACCAGCTCCTTTTTAGCTTTCGCCAAGTGTTTTTAGTTTTAGCTATATTTTGTATAAGTTTATTGGTATGTGGTATGTGGTGGTGGTTGGTACGTGAAGTTTGCTATGAAGTAATGTCTCAATTCTTAATGTCCAAACATTGGTAGGTGATCCAAGACAAAATTTCCAACAAAACATTTCAGTTGATGTATGGATCGATTTCAAAAGGAAAATGAGTTAATTTCAATTCGGTCTTTTCTTAAGGTGGTCTCTTTCATAGGAAGCGATAACACAAAACATATTTAATTCAGGTAATTTAAAATTTCTTCATCGTAAACTAGAAAAAATTTCCTCCAAGTACAAATGGAGTTTGTCTTCGTCAAAACCATTTTAAGGAGAATTTCCAGTGGCCACACTATGCTAAGTTGTGTTTATCATTAAATCATATTTCGTGATGTTTTCTTAATCATCCTACAAATAAAAACTTCCTTGTTTAATTGCCCATATTAAATTATTTGAGGTTTGTTTTAGAATAGAGTTGTGATTCATCTATATCTGTGTGGATAATTATTTATTTTGATATTCTATCACTCCAGAGTATCTGTATTTTTAGCAAAAATAAGAAATTATTACAAATTTTTAACTCTTTCATTTTCTTGTGAACTGAAATCTATTTTAGTAAATTAATTATAAAAACACTTTTTATACGTTAAAAAATATTTATTTTTCAAAATACTAAGGTAATCTAAGGTAAACATTTTTTTGTCTATAAAAAAATGTATTTGCGCCTGTCAACTTATTGTTGAAAATCAGCAAATGTGATGGCGATACAGGAAATAATGACATGACAGGCATGGGAAGGAAAGTACTCAGCAGTACCTCTTCCCTAACTTGTTCCAATTACTTAGGTTGTCTAAGGAAGGAGATCTCTCATCCAACACCATTTTAGTCTCCTCCTCATGTTCTGAGGTATGTCAGCTGTGGCCATGCCTCTTATAAGTCTGTTATTATGTCCATTTAAATTTGTGTAAAATTGTTGATAAAGGGACGTTATATGTTGGTCAACTGTTGGAAAGTAGTGGTCAGTATGTAGAGTTTTGTTAGTCACGTACCAAGGTGCATTTGTTATGAGTCGCAATAATTTTGATTGGAACGTTTGAAGTTTTTGTAGGTGGGTCTTTTTAGCGATGCCGTATATTTGTGATGAATATGTCCATATGGGCTTATGTAAGTATGTTTATGTATTCAGTTTCTGTTTTAGTTTTAGTTTTGAAGATTTAGAAAAAAGAGAGTAAAGTAGTTTGAGTCGTTTGTTAAGTGTCTTACGTTTCATTTTAACATGCGGAACCCATATCATCCTTCTGTCGAAGGTGAGTCCAAGGTAAAGTACCGTGTCCGTTTGAGCAATTTGATTGTTGTCAATATAAACTGGAGGGCAGGTGTTTTTTCATAGAGTAAATGTATGTTTGGATTTGTCATGATTAAGGTGAAAACGAACCATTGTTTATAACAACCAATATCTGTTACAGAAATTGATTCTTGTAGTATCAAGTCATTAATTGATTGTTTTTAATATTAATATTTACGTTAAAAAAAGTCTAGTGTTTCATTTTTTCAAGTTTTAATTTACAATAGTACCCTTTTAAATGGTTTTGATTTAGATAAAACTCAACTATTAATTGAAGGAAATTTTGTCTAGTTTATTCTGAGGAAACTCGTAATTACTCGCAGAGTTTAGGGATTAACAACAGAGAAAGCATTAATATATAATAGTTGAGGGCTAGCGCCTTGAAGGAGCGGTTAGAGTAGGCCAAGCGGGCGGTGAGGTGTTGCGGGTCGACCTACCCCCTCCTAGGCCAGGCGCTCACACCAGCAACCAATTTTCAAGCTCTTGTCTTTAAGAGAAATATGATTGACGAATTTTGAAACCGAGTTTTTTAACCGATATACTGGTATAATACATTTTAATTATTATTTTACAATACTGTACTTAAAATAGATATTATTTTGTATTTTTAAAATATTATGTATTATAATCAGGTGAGGATATGCTTGACGGAAACACTCAATAAAGTTAGAATCGGTAATAATCTGTCCAAAAAATTTGAGGTTAGTTTGGGTTTAAAACAGGGAAATTCCCTTTCGCCTGTACTGTTCAATTTGGCATTAGAACATGCCATTAGGGAGGTAATGCGTACCGAGAAAGGGTTGGACCTGGGTGGGACAACATCCGTGCTGGGCTATGCTGATGATCTGGTACTGTTAAGCGAAGACCTTGAAACTATAAAACTAAATACGACAACGTTAATGAAAGCCTGTAAAGAACTAGGGCTCGAAATAAATGCGGATAAAACAAGATATATGGTTAGCTGCAGAAATGGTGATATAGCTTTTGATATCGATATAGATGGTAATATGTATAGAAGTTTATATATCTAGGGTCTAAGATAACTAGAAAAAACGAAATTGAAGAAGAGATTAAGTTTAGACTGAAGGCGGGAAATGCTTGTTATTTTTCTGTGACAAAATACTTAGCTCGCGCCTCTTGTCCAGGAACTAAAAAATTACAATCTATAAAACAATTATCTTGCCTACAGTTCTTTATGGATGCTAAACTTGGCCGCTTACATTAAGGGATGGGGGTTTGGAAAGCGAACGGTAGAGAGAGGTGTGTAATAAGCGATTGGTGGTGTCGGCATCGAACCTTCGGGTTCGCTAAGCCTTTTATTATTATTATTATTATCAAATTAGAAAGTATTTGAATTGTTTTCAGAAAAAGTATTTCTAATACAAAATACAAAAAGTATTTTTTATCTGAAATACTTTTTTTTACAGATACTGCTCATAAAGTGGCGCTGCACATTCAAATAAAAAAAAAAATCTGCTGATTGCTTGTATTATTTTGATGAAGACTTAAATATTAGGACTCGAAACATTTTTATTCACTTATAAATTCAAAAAATTCCCATAACAGATATCTTCAAAAAAAAACACAATTTATCTTGCTTTAGATGATAAATATTAGAAAAATCATTATTTATAATGAAATGTGTTTTTATAGGGTTATATTATTATAATACATCCCAAGTCATGGAAAAAAAAAAAAGAAATTCGTGCTTTGCAACGATTTATTGTAGTCATTTTGGTTGAAAACACAGTTAATTTTAGTGGGTAATAAGTAGTGTTGTCCAAATGCGAGACCGAGAGGAGTCTTGGTCTTGCACAAGAGTCTCGCAACAGTCTTGCAGTTATTTATTGGTTTATTACTATAGAGATACTACTTTAATTTTTTAGAGAAATTTTTAGCTTAGGAGAAACCTAACTAAGCTCGAATGAAAACAGAGTTAAATGCAATAGTATATTGGTTGTACCAATTCTTTAAATAGTAACTAAATAGTAAAAGTGTCATGCATTAGTAACTATTTTGTCTTAATTTTTATTCAAAAAATCGATTTTTTTAATCAGTCTTGGTCTTGGTCTTGCAACAGTTCAGCGGTAAGTCCGATCAAATAACCTCACTTTTTTACCCAACTAAAGGTGAATATCAAAATATTCCTTCATTAATCCTAATTAATTAATATAGACTCAAAGCATATTAAACAAAGATGTTTTCTGAAAAGTTGGGTCTTTTTTTTATTCATGAAATTTACAACTGTATACAACTGAAATGTACAACTGCATTAAATAGTTAACTATAAACTACAATGTTTACTATCATAGCCACTGCCTATCGTACTGTAGCCAACTGTTCTGAAGGGCTAGGTATATATATATACAAGTCAGCTGATTCCAGCTGTAACGATAAGGGTGGTCTTAAGGATTTATGTGATTATATATATATTTTTTTACGTATTTACGTCCCTGATTTTTTTCCGCCGAGCAGACTGTAGTATCCCCTCCCCTATAGACTGTAGTATCTCTTCCTCTATAGACTGTAGTATACCCTCCCCTATAAGTCTAATTACTATAATTACCTGCTTGTGTATTACAATTAGGTTACCTGAAGGACCTGACTCAATCCCCTCCCCTCCCGCTCCTCCTTCACTAATTGGCTGTAAGCAACTCCACGAAGTTACCATAATATACTAATTGTTACAATATTATAATAATTTTCAATAGCAGGGTCCTTAATTAATACCATTAATTAATCTCTTGTAATTAATACAATGTAATTAATTTTACTTGTAAACCCGATTTCGATATCTGAAAAGTGATATGATATATACATAAATAATATCTTGGTAAATTTAAATCAATGCTAATTATTTTTCTTTAATGATTCAACTTAAACATTCTTTAATGAAATCATCACAAACAGTTAATTAAGTACAGTTAAGAAACAGTTAACAATGTTCTCCATTTTCTAAAAGTGGTAAATCCGTCTTCGATATGTTGAGGCATATATTTTATGTTATATATTATTTATTTACATATGTATTATTTTTTATTAAGTATTA